TTCTGTAATTTTCAATTTTCACCGCTTTCATTAAATATTTTATTTTTTTGATGTTATTGTAAGTGGGGGTAGTTTTCCTAGTTTCTCTTTCAGAGGATTTGTCATTGATGTACAGAAATGCTTTTGATTTATGGGTGTTGATTTTTGTAGCCTGATACTTTGCCAAATTTATTTATTGGTTCTAGAAGTTTTCTGGTGGAATTTTTTGGATCTTCTAGGTATAGAATCATGTTGTTGGCAAATAGTGATAATTTGAGTTCTTTTCCTATCCCTACCTATCCCTTTAATTTCTTTCATCTGTAATTGCTCTGGCTAGAGTTTCAAGAACTCTGTTAAATAGAAGTGGTTAGAGAGGTCATCCCTGTCTTGTTCCAGTTTTTAGAGGTAATGCTTTCAGTTTTTCTCCATTTAGAATGATGTTGGCCTGTGGATTAGCATAGATAGCTTAAAAATATGGAATGCTTCATGAATTTGTATGTCATCTTATGCAGGGGCCATGCTAATCTTCTCTGTATCATTCTAGTTTTAGTATATGTACCGTCCAAGTTAGCACTATACTCTGCCTTTGAAGGTAAATTTCTTAAACTATTTGATAAAGTAAGTTGGAGTTAGGATCTTCAGTTTAGTGCTTTTTCTAAGTTACCCAGATTTAATTCATGAGTACCAAAAATAGGCTAGTAATGACTGAACTATCATTGCAAATTAATCAGTATTAGAATTTAATATTTTGGAAAAACCAGATAATAAAAGCACAGAAAATCAAATTCTAAAGATGTCTCAAGGTTCTTAACTTTATTGTATAAGAGAATCCTAAGTGTTTATTTAGAGTGTAGTCACTCTGGGTGTGGATCAAGAATATAAATTTTTACTAAGGATCCCAAGTGTTTCTGGTGCTGGTAATCTGCAGACTGCATTTGGAAAAACACTGTTCTGAGACAGTGCTTTTTACAGAGCTTGTGATCTTGATCTGGATGACTCTTCTTTTAGTGTTGTCAAAAGAAAGCCTTGCCAGAATGTTGCTGTTTATATCAACTCTGTAGAAATCGGCATCCACAGATATTTTAGAATACAGTTTGGAGCCTAGAATTACCAGTGACTAAACAATGCAAGGTTTATCCTCATAAGGGGCAAGACTGATAACATCTCTAAACATTTGTATTATGCTGTAGATTTAAGGAAAATGATTCAAGGATGTTTCCTTATTTTCATGTAATTTTCTTACCGATGAACAAGCACGTGGAGACCCATTGTAACTTGCAGTTCCTCATTTCTTGATAAAATTGAAGATGTATTTTCTTGAGATCATTGAAAGAAGTTAGAGGGCTTTCAGCTTATGACTGGAGTCTGGTGATGGAAGGACAGGGTACTCATCTAGACTGCATATGTTTAACTCCAGTGTGGATCTGTCACCTGTCAGCTATCAACTGAACTGTCTCCTTTAGGCTCCAGTTTTCCTGTCTGTCAGACTGGGTTAGTAATATTAATTACCTCATGAGGTTATGGTGACTAAATCAGGACATACATCTAAAACAATCACAACCTCTACTGGTACAAAAAAACTTACTTTTCCATTTAGATCCACTCTTCAAATTGGTCCTTGGCTCCAGTTTCATTACTTTGTAGTTTTTTCCCCCTCTTTTTTAGTCTAATATTCAGTTACTTTTGAAACTTTTTAATTTTATCTGACATTATTATCAAAACAACTTTAAAAATCTGAAACCTCTGAAATGTTTAGGAGGGCAGTTTAGGTCAAGCCATTAATTAGTAGGTATACTTTTCAAAAGATCTGTTATTCTGTCATGTGCTTATCTATGAATAGACCTGTACTGATGTGCACTACTTCCCATCCAGTTTATCAGATATAGCTTCAAGTGCAATTTTTATAAAATTCCCCAAAGAAGTTAAGTTCTGAAAATATTCAGGAAAAGATTCAATTTTTTAAAGTCTGTGTTTATTATGTAATTTAATCTGGATAATTCATATTGCACTATGATTCTCCAAAGTGACTCTTGCTGTCATAATTACTTGTAGTGTATGTGAAGTAATTAGCTTTATTTTTTGCTAATGGGAGAGTGGAGAACAAAATTTTGCAAATATTTCTTAGCTGCTATTCATTAAGGATATTTTATCTATTATTTTTCATTTTGGTCAATTTTATTAGTGTACAGTTTACAAAATATACATTGCAATGAGTTTTGACCAATGACCAATGTGTACAAAATTATAATTATATAACCATCATTTTTATAAGCTTATAGCCTTCTGTATTTCTATTTCACCTTTTTTTAAGCAAACAGTATTAAATACATGTTTTATTGGCACTAACAAATCTACATCATTCTCATTAGTTGCTGTTGGCACCATTTTCATTGAGAACAGGTTGGTCCTCAGCATCTCATCTCTGAACTTCACTGCAGATGTTTTCCCTTTTTTTTTTCCTAGGCAATTCTAGCCACCCTTGCATGTTGCCTTATTTCTTTCTGATCCAAGTACTACTCTTGCCTAAAGACAGATAAACTTCAACTGAACCCCTAATAGTTTCCCCAGTACCTCCTTTGCTTCTAGTTTCTACTACTGTGGCTTAGACTATTCTTTGTGATTTTAATCTATTCTATACTTCAGTACACTATGCTGGGGGTTTTGTTTGTTTTTTTCTCCTCACTAATCTCTTAGAAGTTTCTTATGATTTCTGGTCTATTGGAAGTTGCCCATCAATATCTTCTACATCAGCTATTGATTCCTTTTTTTCAAAAATTACATTCTATAGAGCTTGGCTTTAAGATTGCACACCAGAACTTCTTGCTCATATCCAAGTGTAACTTGATACATATTGATTAGTCATTACCACTGATTGTGTTCATTGTATATGAAATTTTACTGTGTATAATATTCAGAATAATGAAACATGGCTCAACATGTAAAAATAGCTCAAGTCTATTTTCTCTTTTAATTTATATTTTGGTTTGGGGATGGTGCTAAAGAAAATTAGATCAAGATAGCTTATTTATAAATCTTAACAATATGTAAATAAATCAAACTGAAACTTTTTGTCTATGGATGGTCACCTTTTAGCATATTAAGATGTAATGATAGACAAGAAAAATAGCTCAGGAAGGACCAGCTTGGAAAATTAAACCTAGAAACTCTGGATGATACAGGCTCCAAGTCATAGCCTAAGATAGATTATTTGATGAAGGATTCTTAAAGTTAGCCTTTTTCCTTTTCTATCACTGTAAACACAAGACTTAAAAGGTGTCTCTAGAAATGTCCTTGTTGTTTGTTACTTTGTTTTATTGATTATAGTAACTAATATTATAACTGCTTGGAATCTGAGAGAGAAAGTATTGTGCTTTTGTAACTTGTAGAGCTATTCATCATAGAATCTGATCCTTAAAAATATGTGGGTGGGAGCCTTATTCTTTCTCTATCCCTCTCAACAACACTTCCCTGTCATTTCGTAGAGTGAAATTTTGTCAACCCAGCATGGACTTTAAAATTATGTAGCAATAACTTACAGGTGATTAAACTGAGACCCTAAAAGGAAATTAGTTGATATAAGATCACATACATATATACATAGTAAACAGACATGTTTCTTTACCTTGGTCTGCCCTGTACTTTTTGTTGTTGTTGTTGTTGTTGTTGTTTTGGGTACCAGGGATTGAACACAGGGGTGCTATCCAACTGATCCACATCCCCAACCCTTTTTTATATTTTTATCTAGAGACAGGATCTCGCTAAATTGCTCATAGCCTTGCTAAGTTGCTGATGCTAGCTTTGAGTTTGTAATCCTCTGCCTTAGTTTCCTGAGCCACTGGGATTATAGGTGTGCCCCACTGGGCCTGGCATTGCCCAGCTCTTTTCTGACATGTTGGAAAGCCATTTTGTCCCAATTATATATAATTTATTTCTACAAATCTATTTTAGAAAGTCAAACCTCTCTCTTAGATCTTTGTTGGTCTTATACAACTAAAGTTTAGTCAGGACTTTTTGGGCTACCTATACAATTGTTCCTATAGGGGAGGAAAATTATTTTTTATCTCCTAATCCTAGGTTCATGGCCAAAGCTGTTATAACAGAAGACATAGTAGCAAGAGAAAATCATATAGATTTACTTAACATAAGTTTCATGTGACAGAGGAGTCATCACATGTAAATGAAGAACTGAAAAAATAAATGGGTATTTTATGTTAGGTTAGATGGACGACTACAGAGTCATGGGGAAATAGGATAGGGCAAAGGAGATATGATCTAATGGTAACAGATTGGGGAAACTTAGCATGATGTGTTTGTTCATATTCTCTGTGACCCTTCATGTTCAATGATAAGGATGTTTCTTTCCCTCTTGTATAGGAAGGTACTTCCCCATTGAGAGTCTTATGACCTACTGTGGAGGAGGTCAGAAGATTCTTCCTAAGTTGTTTACCTGTTTCAGGGGAAAAGGGGAGGAGGAATGCCAGAGAAATCTTCCTGTTTCTGCTGTTTTTCAATCTGTTAAGGTGGCATGTTTAGGGGTAGTGTGTCCTGAGCCCTATCATTTCTCTCCCCTAAACCTTCCAAATGTTTATTGAGCATCCTAAGAGAGAATATAACATCTTCTTTATTACGTTAGTAGTAGAAAAAAAATAGAATCAGAGGTTGAAGGCAGGGAGAAAGTTACCATGAATAGCCTTATTTTATTTTACCCACCGGAAAAATAATAGGGCACTGGATTTGTTCATTCCATAATTTATGGCTGAATTTTAAATTTTATTTGATGAATTTAATAAAGTGAAGGGGATTTTGGTTTTGTCTTAAATCATAGGTAGTTATTTCCTAAAAAAAAATTATTTTTGTCTGTGTGGATTTATTTCTGATGAGAGCAGGAGAAGGAGGACAGTGTATATTTGCTTTCTAACTGAAGTTTAATTTCTATTTATGAATTATATTTTAATATGAAATTTGTGAAATAAATTCCAAACTAATAATTACTAATAATATTGCTCATTTTTATACAACAGGATAGACATGATTCAGTTGATGTTGAAAGTATTTGCCATGTGTGGCACATGAATATAGAAGCCCTTCCAGAATGGATAAACTGCCTAATACAAAAAGTAAGTTTCTTAGTTTCTGAATAAAATTAGAAATATGCAACCTTCAGAAAATTATTGTCTATTTTTAGAACTATTTTTCTTAGATGCATTGTTTTAAGATATTTGAAATATTGTGTTACTCTTTTCTTTAAAGTATTTAATTTTTTTTAGATATACATGACAGTAGAGTGTATTTTGGCATATTATATATACATGGAGTATAACTTATTCTAATTAGGATCCCATTCTTGTGATTGTACATGATGTGGAGTTTTACTGATGGTGTACTCATATGTGAACACAGGAAAGTTTATTCCACTGCCTTTCCTATTTGTATCCCACCTTTATCTGTATTCCCCTTTGTCTAATCTACTGAACTTCTCTTCTTCCCCTCCCTGCTTGTTGTGTGTTAGCATCTGTATATCAGAGAGAACATTCAACTTTGTTTTTTGGGGGTTGATTTATTTCACTTAGCATCATAGTTTCAGATCCATTCATTTATAGGCAAAAGTCATAAAGCTATTCTTTCTTATGGCTGAGTAATATCCTATTGTGTGTATATATACATATATATGTGTATTATATATATATATGTGTGTGTGTGTGTGTGTGTGTATCACAATTTTTTTTTATCCACTCATCTGTTGAAGGGAACCCAGGTTAGTTCCATATTGCACTTATTGTTCTCCTCATTATAATTGAAGTGGTCCAGATACTTTTCTGTCTTAGACTTTAATCTTGATATTACCCCTTTCAATCTTCTTCTCAAAATTACTCATCTGGTTTGTTCCCTCATTTCCATTGTTCTTTATTTAAGTGAGAAATTGCCTGGCCAATGTGTTGACTGTTCCTTTTCCTTATTATCCTTCTTCACACTGCCAGTCTCCTTTGTTTGCTTCATGTACCTACCTATATTTTATAGGTTCACACACACTATAAGTAATATAACTATATTAAAGTGTATATATAATCTATATAATCATATACATATATGTATACACACATAGCATACTGATGTTGTTAATTACCTAGCCTCCTCCATTAGAGTATAAGCTCTATAAAGTCAGGGATTTTTACATTTTGGTCATCTGTACTTCCTCAGCACCGAAAATAGAACCTGTTAAATGAAAGAAACATCTTGTATGTATCATTCATGTATACACACATATGCATTTATACATACATATATGCTGGATAATTATGACTTTTAATGGTATAATCAAAATGAAAATGCTGGATTTTAAAGAATCCTTAATGAAATATAATCAAGAACTCACCTTGTGAATAACATGCTAATTTTTCACAATGCACAAAACTTGTCTTAGAAAAACATAAGTAATATGATTTTGGGGAAAATACAATTACATTTCTCCACTGAGAAGTTTTACTTTTTTTTTTTGTTGATGGTGTTAAAAAAAAATAACATTTGGTAGATATCTCTTGCGCCCATTATTAACATTGTAATGATTTCCTGGGAGAATGCCAGTGTAAGTGGCATTGCAAGTGTCCTGAACTTTACAAAATATATTACGACACCACAGAGGTTCTACTATCTTTGTTGAAAAGAACATTTTAAGCCAGTTCATTATTAATTTCTAAACTGAGTATAGAAAATGCGTTATCTAATGTAAGCAATCAGTATCTTTTGGTTGTATGTAAAAAGCTAGGAAAAGCTTTATTCTGTTAGTTGGATAAAATTCCCTCCTCTGGTGCTTGGTATGCAAGAAGTGTATCAAAACAGACACTTTTCTGTGAGATTTTACTTGCAAATTAAGCTCTGTAGACTGATTTGCTTCCTGGTTCCATAGAATATTTTTCTTTTCATTAATTCACCCTGTATCCATATTCAACCTATTGTTTAAGAGACTCTCTTTTGGGATTCTTGGGAGTATTGTTTGGATGGGCATGATTTGCAATATGTTATCATTCTAGAACTTTGTAGCTGCTTATCTCTATTTATTGGAAGGCTTGTTTCCATTTGCTGTTCTGCTACTAATCAGAAAAGGGAAAGCTAGTCTTTTCTGTAGCATAGAAAACTTTCATGTGGTTGGCTTTTTTCTTTCTTTTTTTTAAAAAAAACTCCCATTCTCTTCAGTTACTTTACAATGAAACCATTGTTTTTATTTTCATTTATTACCTGTAGGCCCAGTGGACAGTTGGAAAACTGAATTGCCCTTTCTGTGGGGCCCGTTTAGGGGGCTTTAATTTTGTCAGCACTCCAAAATGTTCCTGTGGCCAGCTTGCAGCTGTACATCTCTCCAAGAGCCGGACTGATTATCAACCAACAGAGGCAGGCAGACTAATGAGACCATCGCTGAAATACTTGTCACATCCTAGAGTTCAGTCAGGTTGTGACAAGGAAACTCTGCTGACAGGTGGTGGCTCCAAAAGCAGAAATTACAGGCTTTTAAACATGGCCCAAAATAATAATGGCCTTGGAAGATTAACAGAAGCACTCTGCCTGGAGGTGCGATCGACATATTTTGAGATGAAGAATGAAAAATTGCTCTTCAAAACATCAGATCCAAAATACCAGCTTTTTGTTCCCCAGCTTATGTCTGGCAGGTGCACGGCAAGAGCTTTTCATAGAAAATCACATAGTTTGGATCTGAACATCAATGAGAAACTGACTTTATTACCCACTTTATATGAAATACATAGTAAGGCAACTGCCTATCCCAGGCTAAATGAAACACGGCCTGTTGCCCTTGCAGGCTTGCCTTTACAGTCCAGTAAAAATAGCCGTTCCTTTCAGAATCCATCCAGTTTTGATCCTGATATGCTGCTGCAAAGATTTTCAGTGGCTCCCTGTGAGACCCAGACACAAAGAGGAGGAGAATTTCAGTGTGGTCTAGAAGCTTCTTCAGTGTATTCCGACCACACTAACACTAACAACCTGTCTTTCCTGATGGACCTGCCCTCAGCCGGCAGGAGCATGCTGGAGGCCTCAGACCAAGAGGAGCACCTTTCTGCTCTGGACTTCTTGCGCTCGGCCAGTTTCTCATTGGGCACCATTAATCAGAGGCTGAATAAGAGAGAAAGGAGCAAATTGAGGAATCTAAGAAGAAAACAACGAAGGCATGAAAGATGGCTACAGAAGCAGGTAATTTTTAAAATAAGAGTTTACTAAAAATTCTGAATTTACAAGTATTGGAATTTGGGGAGTAGAGCTAACTTTCAAAATTTGTATTAAAAAAACGGAGTTTCAATTTTTGAAATGACATTTTTCTCTAGGTACACTTAATTATGTAGCCCCATTATAACTACCATGTAAAATCCAGTTTCTATGTTTTACTTATGTTTAGAAAAAGCGTCTTCTGTGTACTTTTTCTGTTTTAGCTAGAATTATAAAGGAAGATTAATTTCATTATATTGAAACTGAATTGTTTATCACAAACATTTTAATTTTATTATGTGCTAGGATTGTTTTGCAGTAATTTTATTTCAGGTTAAGTTGGAAAAAAGTTTTCTAAATTCAAATCATGTAACAAATTCATTCACTTTTCATCACATCATTTAAATGATTATTTTCTAAAAACTTTAATTATGTGCTCATATGATTGATATATGATTAACTGTGCTAACTGATGAACATTATCTAAAGGGTAATTTTCCTTACTGTAATTTTCCTAGAGCAGTTTGCTTTTCTATGATTTGAACTTCTTGTGTGCCCCATAATAATATATTCCAAGGTGATATGTGTAAAAGGACTGCATGATAAATGCGAAAACCAGTTAAAACCAGTGAATGAGGTGCTATAAAAATTTAGAAGTTTGATGACTGATATATTTCTGTATGAACTTTTTTTGTAAATTGCCTGTATTATTTTCTCATTAGTAGGATTGATAATTCTAATTAATTAATGTTTGAATGTTAACACTATCCACAGAACCAAAATATAGAAAGCTGCAACTTCATATAATAGTTCATTCTTTTTAAAGACAGTTAAGTGAGTCCTGTATGGCTTGTTATCCTAATCACAGACTCAATAAAACAAAATAACTGCAATGAGTGCTTCAGTCAGATTAGATGATTTTTTTCATCTTTCAGTTACATAGTGTAGTAATAATTATAGATAATTATTTTTGACTGGTTGCTAATAAGAACATTTAAGTTTGGTTTATGTGCAAGTAATGATGATGTTATGTTGAAATATACTTTATAGAATGTAAAAATTAATATATTATCATTATAATATACTGCAAATTATAATTTACTAAAGCTGTAAAATTCAAAATGTTTATTGAGAATTTGACTTATGCCTCGATAAATTGGAAATGATCATATGTTAAGTGATCAAATAAGAAAATCCTTAAGAACAATGTGGAAAGCTCTGAAATAATTTTCTTCCAAATGGAAATTTAAAAGAAGTATGAAAATCATATTTACTTTATTCTGTTAATAAATAATGTGTTTGTTTAGTTTTGGGGTTAGGTACTTCTGAAAATATCAGTTATATTATTAATTATTTTCCAGCATAGAAATGCTTTATTATACACAGTTTAGAGCTAAACAAGAACAGTTTTGTTTTTTGTGTTTGTTTTTGTATAGAAGTTACTTTTTTATTTACATCCATACTTTTGACCAATTTGCTTATCTAATTAATCAGAATTAGGGAATATTAGACCTGTGACAAGGTTTGTATGGGGAATGGCACTATAGAATCCTAATAGGTTTGATTGGTTGCATAAGAGCTATAAGCAAACAAATGCCCAATGTCTCTTGAGCAGAAAATTTAAAAGATTAGACCAAAAGAGTAGGGAAATTTTGTGAGCTGATGATATAAATACACACCATTGTTAGAGCCAGGAAAAAAAATTAAAGTTAATTATGCTAAGTCAAGCAAAAAGACAAATTCTAGCAAGTTAATATCTGAAATAAATTAATGGCTAATTATTCAGCTAATTACATGCTTAATAAAGATAAATTCTGTAAAGATGTACCAAATGCTCGTTTTAGATATCATGCTTTTGGGTAATGACTTTGGTACAGATACTGTCTTTTTTTAAAGATAAGAATAAAATATATAATATATAAAAGTACTAGTTACTGTTGTTAATATTTTCTTAAAATGTTTTATATATTTTAATTGAAGTAAAATTGTACATATTTATGGGTAATGTGATGTTTTGACCCTTATATATATTGTGTAATATTTAAATAAGGGTGAGCATGTCTGTCTTCTCAAATGTTATTAATGATAAAATCATTCAAAATCTCTCTTCTGGACTGGGAATGTAGATCAGTGGTAGAACCTTTGCCTAGCATGTGTGAGGTCCCAGGTTCAATCCTGAATAAAACACACATACCACCCCCACACATACACACACAACACACTGTTCAAAATCCCTCTTCTATCTTTTTTTGAAATATGTAGTACATTATCATTATCTATTTTCATCATATTGTGCAAAAGAATACCAGAACTTATTTCTCCTGTGAATGAGTACCCATTGGTCAACTTTTACCACTTCCCTCTTTCCATTGCCAGCCTCCAGTTAAAACTATTCTACTCTCAACTTCTGAGATCAGTTTTTATATTCTATATATATAAGTAAGATCAAATGGTGTTTTCTTCTCTGTCTGACTTAATGACCTCTAGTTTCATCCATTTTATACCAATACCGAGCTTTTTATGACTGCATAATATTCCATCACATATATATTTTTATATGCTTTTTTCTTTATCCATTCATCTGGTGATAGACACTCAGGCTGTTTCCATTTCTTGGCTATTGTGAATAGAGCTGTAATAAACATGGGAGTGCAGAAATCTCTTCAACACAATGATTCTGTCTCTTTTGGACACAAACCAACTAGTGAGATTGCTGGATCATATGGTGTTTCTATTTTTAAGTTTTTGAGAAATCCCCAAACTGTTTTCCATAATGATTGTACATTTCCACTAATAGTATGTAAGAGTTCCCTTTTCTCCATTTCCTTACCAACCCTTATCTTTTGTCTGTTTGATAATAGCGATTCTAACAGGCACGATGTCTCATTGTGTTTTTTTATATTGATATAATTTATTAAGGTGTAATGGAACAATTAACCTACTAGTTATATATTTATTTCATTGTATGTAAAAGAATAATCTCCAAATTGATGAAAATAGCAGAAAATAGCATTTTAGACTTAAAGGAGGTTTTGAATCTATAAATCTGTGTGAAAAAGGCTGAATGAGAAACTGAATTGAAAGTGTTATATAATCTTAAATTACAATAAACATGCAAATGTTTTATCTCTCAATAACTCATTAATATGGTAAAAAGGTTTCCGCAAAATTACTAAAATTTAAATTACCTAAAATATGGTATAATTAGATTGTGGTTTTGATTTGCATTTCTTTGATGATTTGAGGGGCTGAGTGTTGTTTTCCTATATCTGTTGGCTATTTGTTTGTCTTCTTTTGAGGAATTTCTGTTTAAATTGATTGCAGGTTTTTCAATGGGTTATTTATTTATTTTTGCTAGTGAGCTTTTGGAGTTCCTTATATATTTTGTATATTGATCACTTGTCAGATGTATGGTTTACAAATACATCTTTTTTCCATTCTGTAGGTTCTTCCTTTATTCTGTTGTTTCCTTTGCTGTGCAGAAGCTTTCTAGTTTGTATAATTCCATCTGTCTGTTTTTGCTCTCATTTTCTGTTTTTGAGATCTTAACCAAAAAATATTTGCCCTGAAATATTTACTCATCTTTTCTTCTAGTAGTTTCTACTTTTTTTTTTTTTTTTTTTTTGGTACCAGGGATTGAACTCAGGGGCACTTAACCAGTGAGACACATCCCCAGCCCTATTTTGTATTTTTATCTAGAGACAGGGTCTCACTGAGTTGCTTAGTGCCTTACTTTTGCTGAGGCTGACTTTGAACTCACAATCCTCCTGCCTCTGCCTCTCCAGAAGCTGGGATTACAGGCAGGTACCACCATGCCTGGCAGTAGTTTTTACTTTTTAGTTTTGCTTTAGAATGTAGAAGTCTTTAATCCATTTTGAGTTTGTTATTATATACTGTAAGAAATAGGGGTCTAGTTTCACTATTTTGAATATGGATATTCAATTTTTCCAGCACCATTTATTGAAGAGACTGATCTTTCCACAGAGTATGTTCTTAGCACCTTTGTTGAAGATTCATTGGGTGTGGATGCATGGGTTTACTTCTTGGCCTAGTGTTCTTTTCCATTTGACTATATGTCTGTTTTTATACCAATGCCGAGCAGTTTTGATTACTATAACTTCATAGTGTATTTTGAAGTCAGATAGCATAATCTTTCTTGTTTTGTTCTTTTTGCTGAAGATTGCTTTGGTTATTTTATTTTTTATGGTTCTATATAGATTTTAGGATTTATTTATTTATTTATTTATTTTTGGTGAAGAATGTCACTGGTACTTTGTTAGGGATTGCCTTATGTTTGTGTGGTATGAACATTTTAATAATATTCGTCCTTCCAATCCATGATTCTATTATGTTTTTTTTCTTGTTGTTGCTGTTGTTGTTGTTGTTGTTGTTGTGTGTGTGTGTGTGTGTCCTCTTCAGTTTTTTAAAATCAATGTCTTATAGTTTTCATTGAAAAGGTCTTTTTAACATATTTTTTAAAAATTTTAATTAATTGGCTAGGAAATCTGGATTTCTGACTATCATTTGACATTTTTAATGAATTAGTTTGTAAGTTAGAAATCTTTCAGTGGCATATACCATGATATAAAGTGTTCATATCACTACAAAATTATTTAAACATTTAAAGCTTAGAAATGTAAATGAAATTGATGGTGAAGTAGATACTACAGCCAGTTTTGTGTTTTTCTTCAGCAAAAGTTAACTGAGCATCAATTTGGGGGAAAGACATAGTGCTAAGCTGTATTTAAACCAGAAAACTTCTTTTATATTCAGAATAGTTCTTCTTTTCATAATTACCATGTAATAAAATTTATTCCTAATATGTAGCTTTAGGTTTATATAAAGATCATTCCAATCCCCATTGGGATCATACAGAACTGTTGCATCATCCCCCAAACTCCTTTGTTCTGATCACGTTTAAAATCATACCTTTGTCCATCCTTAATCCCTGAAAACAACTTCTCTTTTCTCCATTACCATAGTTTTGTCAAATGATAATTTATACAATAATATAATGTTATAATAGAACCATATAGTAAACTTAAGATTGACTTCATTTACTCACTGAATGTGAATGCATCCAAATTGTTGCATACATTACAGTTTGTTCTTTTTTAATTGCTTGGTAGTATTGCATTGTATGAATGAACCACAGTTTTTTATTATTCAGCCATAGGACAGCAGGTAGATTGTTCCAGGTTTTGACAATTATAAATAGAGATGTGTGCATATATTTTTTGTGAACCTAATTTTTCATTTTTCTAGGGTAAATTCTCAGGAGTGGGACTGCTGGATCATATGGTAAGTGTCTATTTAACTATATAAGAAACTCTCAAATTGTTTTCCAGAATAGTTATTTTCTTTCTATATAGTTTTGAAAGTTCTTTATATATTTTTACTAGAAGTTCTAAATTAGATATATGATTTATAAATATTTCCTCTCAGTGTGTAGCTTGTGTTTAATTCTATTAACAGTTTTTTTTCCTGCATAGTAAACATGCTTAATTTTGATTATGTCCAGTTTCTCAAAAAAAATTGTTTAATGGCTCATGCTTCCAAAAGCATGTCATATTGAAGAACTCTGCCTTACCCTAGGTTATAAAGACTTTTTTTCTGTGGTTTATTCTAAAAGTTTTATAGTATTATGTTTTACATTGAAATTATTTACTTTGTATTGATTTTTTAAAAATAAAGTGTGAAGTTTAAGTCAAGACCCATTATTTTGCATAGAGGTTCAAAGTTTCAAGTACATTTTGTTGAAAACTGTGTCCTTTCTCTATTGAAATGCTTTTGCAACTTTGTCAAAAATTAATTGGATATATATCTGTGGATCTAGTTTTGGATCTTCTGTGATGTTCAGTTCATCTTTATTTCTGCCCTTTTATCAGTAGCCCTTTTTCTTGTTTGTTGGAGTTTTATAGTAAATCATAAAGTAGGATATTGTGAATTCTTCAACTTTATTGTTATTTTTCAAAATTGTTTTACCTATTGTAGTTCTTTTTATTTTCCATATAAAATTTAGAATGAACCTGTTTGTATTTGCAAAAATTCTGTTGGGATTTTGGTTGGAATCATATTAAATCTATAGATCAACTTGGAAAGAATTGAAAACTTTACTATGCTGATTTTCCAAGACTATAAGCATGGAACATCTTTCCTTTTATTTAAGTCTTTGATTTCTCATCATTATTTTGCAGAGTTGGCATTCAGAATATGTATGTTTATTTAGAATTATAATAAGTATTTTTTTTTCGGGAGAAGTTATTGTTGAACACTTTGACTTAAAATTATATATTGTTAGTGTTTAAAAGTACTACTTTTGTTTTGATTTTATATCTTGTGATGTTGGTAGTACAAGTCTTTGATATCTTTTGTCATTTTATCCCCAAGTATTTATATTTTTAATGCAATTGGTTTTTGTATGATCTTGCATGCTTACAATCTTTTTACTGTCACCTTCTAGTAATAGTTTTTTTGTAGATGTCACTGAATTTTCTACTTAGATGGTCATCGTATCTGCAAATGAAAAGTCTTACTTCTTCCTTTTTAATGTAGATATTTTTCTTTTTCTACTTCTTATGATATTGCACTGGTTAGCAGAAAAACATTCAATCTTTCACCTGTGTGATGATAGTTGTTGATAGTTGTAGCATTTTTTAAAAAAATATTTTTTAGTTGTAGATTGATGCAATACCTTTATTTTATTTGTTTATTTTTATGTGGTGCTGGGGATTAAACCCAATGCCTCATGCATGCAAGGCAAGTGCTCTACCACTCAGCCACAATGCAGGCCTCAGTTGGAGCATTTTTACTGAGGAAGTTTTCTGTTATTTCTAATTTAAAGAGAATTTTATCATGAATGGATGTTGAATTTTATCAAATGCTTTTTCTGCATTATTTCATATTATCATGTGTTTTAAATGTTTAGTATTAATTATCAATTATTGAACCAATCCTACATATCTACAGTAAACCTCAGTTATGTTATAATATTCTTCTTATTTTTATAAAATAAAAATTTTATTCTTCTTACTTTTATAAAATTGCTGGATACTGTTGGATATGATTTGATAATAGGTTTTGAGATGTTTTTTGGGGGGGAGGCTTCTGCTTATGAAGGATATTGGCTTGAAATTTTCTTTTTTTCTGCTATTATTGTCTGTTTGGGGTATTAGAGTAGTGCTGGCCTTATAAGTTCTCTTCTGTTTTCTGGAAAATATTGTGGAGAATTAATATTATTTTTTTAAAGAGAGAGAGAGAGAGAG